ATTGAGAGAGGAGAAGCAACACTACTTGGGCATTGTTACCTCCTTGTAGATAGTGGCTCTGGTGGCAGAGCTTAAAACCTTGGGGTGAAAATGTGGAGCCAAGGCCAGTGTGTACAATTCTTTGAAATAAAAAGATGTGTGATGTGTACTGGTATGCCAGTGTGCCAGTAACTCTAAGTGCAGGTTTGCTTATGAGTAACACAGGGCAGAAGTGAAATGTGGGATGCAAGTAGCAGCTGAACAGTTTCTAAGACCTTGTGAAAACTGGGACACATCCAAGCACTGGTGCCTGTAAAAATAGAACAAGTGAGCAAAATCTACGTTGTTAGAAGCAGAAGACTGATTTGATAACAATGAACCACTGCACACACTAAAAGCAAAACTTAGACTGATTTGGTGCAAAATTTGAGTTAGAGGTTTTACCTCACTGGAGGTCTATGGGAAGAAAGTGGACATTATTTAACTGACTTGAGACTGATTCTTGTTGCTATTGTTTTTGTTTGTTTGTTTGGATAATTGTTTTTTTTTTGAGACAGAGAGGCACTTTTGAATAAAGTTGAATTAAAAGGTATCAGATTACTATGACAAGTCACAAGATAATGTTATACTCATCAGTATAAGCTTAAAGTACCTGGACATTGCCAACTGTAATGAAATCATTGAGAATGCCATAGCAGGGATCCCGAGGAGATTTTTTTTTAGCAATCCTGCATTTCTAGTTCATATGGAAATGCTAATTCTACTTATGAGAGTACAGACACGATATTATTATGATTAAGACCTTACAATGTAGAATGGTCCATTAATAATGTTATAGACAGGTTTAGCATAAAATGCAAGTTATGTAGCCAAATAATTAGTTGCACATTTCAGGCAGCATCTGGATTTCATGTGATCCTGTTTACCTACAAAGCTAAACAGGAATAATGCTTCATGCTACTTAGGATAGTCAGATATGAGCCAGTTTTTGTTTTTCTTTCAGCATTTGTCCCTGGAGAGAGCCTGAATCTTCTAAACCCTCTTTGAGAAAAGCAGTATTTTATTTTAAAGAAGTAGTTAAGACCATCCTACTTGGGTGATGATGGCTGTTTCCCATGGCTAACAGCCATAGTTGCCTCACAAATAACCCAAGTATGTTCATTTTCGCCATGCTGCTCACAAACATGTCCACAGTGATTCTGGAAAAATAGCCTGTATATGTTTCCGAAAGTCATCTATGTGTTTCTCTCTTGACATTTCTAAGGAAATAAAGGAGTAGAGTAGTTTAGGGGGAATGAACATGAGGGTGAGATAATATTTTACACTCTATTGATATATCAGAAACTAGGAGATTGTAAAAGAGAGAAAAGCAGGACTCAAAGAAGAAATGAAGAGTGGAGGGTCTGAGACACTACAATGTGCCAGGGGAAGTGGATGGATACATTAGTCTGTGAATGCTGAAGTTCACCCTATGAGGGGGTTAATATTCTAATATTCACCAATCATAGAACTCACCTTGGGGCTAAGTATTGGGAGAAAGAAGTTGCTGAAGTTCTGTCTGAAGATGAATTCCATTGCATTATTGACTTACATAATTGGCATCAAGACTGAAATTCTAGTTGAATTAGACTAAATTTCTGAACATTCTACGTTAAACTGTGTTCTTTAAAGATTATATTTTACCTTATGTGCTCACAGTAAGTAAATTAACTTAAACCAAAGTTGACCCAAGAAGCAAACTGAACTTAATGATGATTTTTTTAAAAAATCTTAATTGCCTTTAAAATTGTTTTCTGTGCAAATATGTACTTGTGATTTTTCTTCTTAATTAGGCTATTTCTATTGTGATTCATATTATAATTTCGACTCGTGCAATATATCTTTTTCTTAGTGTCGTTATGGAGACAAATCCCAAATGTGATTGATTAACTACAAATTCTAGATTCCTACTCCTACTTGTGTGAATTAGTTTGTGCACTGAACGTCAAACATTATGTTTGCTCCAAATACCTCCTAGGAGGTCATCTCATGCTAGTAGCTTGAAATTGTTGGAACTAGTTAACAGTCATATGTTATTGTCTTTCAGAAATAATTTACTAACATTGCATCACACTTCTCTTGACCTGCAAAAACGTATTCCCTTCTTCAGATAAAATCTTGTTCACTGACAGAGGCATTGCATTTACTGTTGAGAAGTCTCATCCTTCTCCTCAGAGCACCTAGGAATACACTGGGTTTTCAGTAAACCATACCAGCTGTCTAGCATCATCATTGAAATTAAGGTAGTCTGTTAGGTCTCTGTTCACTGTACCTTTTTTTTTCCTTCTGACTATAGAGGAATAGCTTGCAACAAGAGAAGATATACTGCATCTATGTCATTGCATAAGCAATTTCTCAGAGCACAAAGATACTAGGCAGGGATGTCAAGCCTGTTAGTATTACATGGAAAGACAGGATGCTCTTCTCCTATTATCTCAACATTATCCCCTTTATCAATCTAAACTCATTTTTTCCCATTCACAGTGAGAACTATATGAGTCAACTAACCATTTTATCTAACCTTTTCTTCAATGGTAAAATGAGTTCAAACTTTCAACAGCCAAATCACAAACCACCAGTGATGGCACATTCTTGGCTTCTTAGGCTGTGGTCTGCTCATCACCACTGACAGAGGACAATTTGCTTTATGCAAAATGAACTCACAGTGCAAATAAAAGTAATTAACTCCCATAAACCTTGAATTTGGGACAATTCAGATTCCAATACATTAAAGTATTTTCTTCAAAGACAAAAGGTCTTTATTTTCTCACATAATCTATAAGAGCTCATCTACCTCTAAATTGATAGAATGCTGCCGCAAAAAAAAATCCTTTGGCTATTCTGGGGGACAAGACAAATGCCAGCACTCTGAGTGTTTCCTTAGGGCTTGTGCTCTGGTGGAATTTGATAAGGATTCCAAAGCCTTTTTCCTTTTATTATTTTTTTATTACAATGCCTGTAGCTGACTATATGCCCTGGTTAGTTTTGTCAGCTTCATACAACCTCAGACATGTCTGGAAAAAAAGGATTCTCAGTTGAGAAAATGCCTACAGGGCCCTGTAGGAAAGTATGTGGGGCATTTTCTGTGTTAATGACTGAATGGTGTGGCAGGTCCCAGCCCACTGTGGGTAGTAGCACCCCTAGGCAGATGGACCTGGGTTGTACAAGAAAGCAGACTGAGCAAGTCATGAGAAGTTTCAGATCCTGCAGCCAGATTCCTGCCTTGAATTCCTTCTCTGGCTTCCTTTGATGACAGACTGTGATGTGAATTGTAAGCCAAGTAAAGCCTTCCCTGGCCAAGCTGATTTTGGCCATAGTGTTTCTATCAAAGCAATAGAAACCCTGACTAAGGCACCATGTAAGTAAAATGCATATTTATGTATGCATGAGATATTTATGAACAGAAAAATGGTCCAGAATGGGGATAGAACAAATGGAACCTCCTCATCTGGGATTTCCTCTAACAGATGTGACAGAATCACAGTGATGACTCAGAACCCTCTTTTCGTGGATGCTTTACAGTTGCCCTTGTGAAGTTTTGTTAATATCATAGAGGAAACAGTTGAAATGCAAAGACTTTGCTGGTGCCAAGAAGACAAAAGGAGACCAAGAGTATTCTAGGTGTTCGAGGGTGGTTTACTTCCTCAAATCCTGAAAGAGTAAATATTTGTTCTTCCTCCCATATCCTTTGGTAGTTGTCTGGCCATCTGGTACATGAACCTGCAAGTATTTGTTGCCTCCTGATGGGAGATGTGAGTCTTGTAATGTCAGCAAAAGGAAACTGGCTACATTTGGTACAATTTGTTCTGCCATGTTTTTAGAACTTTGGTTTTTATGCTCTGTGAATGCTTGATGGCAAGACAGAAGGACAAAAGGAAGGAAGGGAAGAAGGGAGGGAGGGAGAGGGAGAAAGAGAGAATATTTAGGATAGAAAATAGGTCTTTAGCTTACCTAATCTCATCTTTCATTTGCAGCATGAGGGCTGAGGGAGATGTCTGGTATTTTAAAGTCTCACTTGAGTGACTAAGGTGTTAGTCCCTTAAGGACCTCACCACTTGGTTGGGTCATTGTGCAGGAATGGCAAGATTATTTACACCTATTTGATGTCTGCTTTCACTGGAGTGCTGCCTGTAGACTTGGAACTCCTTGTAAAGGACAAACTTTCTGATCTACTTCCCTGTATAGGAACATTTTGAGAAACAAGTGGCTTTAGAAGCTGATGCATTAACTGCAGTGTACGATTTGAAAGATAATCCCAAATCCCATCACTCATGTGTCTGCCTGTGGGTTTCCTGGAGAGTGAGGTTGATTTGGGGATCAAGGATCAGCTGCTGAGGCTGGCACTTAGGAAAGACAAGCTAAGCATTCACACCCCAGACCACTCAATACCAGCATTGTCTCCAGTCCATCTTTCATAAGGGGGCTCCAAGAGGGAGGAGGGGATGGAGAGAAAGTAAACCTTTTAAATTCTTCAGGACAGGATTAGAAAGGGCAGATACTAGGTGAATATGGAAAGCCATTTGCCCGGACTATGAGATTAACTTTGGCTTTCAGTCTGAGAGTTTCTTCTCTATTTCTCATCTCGCTGGTCCCTTCTGCACCATGCCTTCTTATCCATGTGCATGTAGCTCCATTTTTCAAGGTTTGTATCTCTCTTGCACCATGCTTCTTTCCTGGACCCTTTCTCTTGCCCTTTTCTAGCTCGAGTCCACCTCCTTCTTCCCTGTCTTGAACAGTACCTCTGAGCCCCATCCCCTCTTCTTAAGAAAATCAGCCAGGCCTCAGACAGAGCTGTTGTCCTGACAACCCAAAGGCACATCAGGCTTTCATTGAGGCTGGCTGCTGTTGAAGGGGGCAGTTGTGCAAAGCTAGGGGCCACGCTGAGGGAAGGGAGGAGGGGGGGGATGACGCGGCGGGGCTGTTGAAAACCAGCAGGGTAGGGGGGAGGTGCTGAGTAGAGAGAGAACACGCCAGGGACTGGAGGGAGAAACAGGAAAGGGAGGAGGGGGAGAGAGCTCCTGGGTTGCTGCTTCTGCTGCTGCTGCTGCGAGAGGCTGTTTCTTTACTCTCCCTGGCAGGCTCTCCTGCTGCCTGGGAAAGTGGGTTACAGAGGGAAGGAGCTCAGCCCAGACGCTGGCAGAGAAGCAGCCAGCCACAGAGAGTCCAAGGAAGCACCCCTGCCGTTGACAGTCGCCTCAATATTAAGCGTTTTATATTTGCACTCTTCCTTCGGAAAATTTGTTCCTCCACTTTCTCCCCCACGCTTGCTTGGATTTGATGCGGGCTTTGTTAAGTCTCACAGGGGAAAAAGACTGAGCGAGGGAAAGAGCGAGGCAAAGTGGAAGGGAGTGAGCGCTGGACCCGCCCGAGCAGCCTTGGCAGTGGCTGCTAGCCCCGCGCGCTAGAGCCCCTCTCAGTGGCCAGCAGCGCGCACTCGGGAGTCCACCGCGGACCAACTCGCCGAGGCCACCATGGTCGGGAGAGTTCAGCCCGATCGGAAACAGTTGCCTCTGGTCCTACTGAGACTACTCTGCCTTCTTCCCACAGGACTGCCTGTTCGCAGCGTGGATTTTAACCGAGGCACGGACAACATCACCGTGAGGCAGGGGGACACGGCCATCCTCAGGTAGGGCTTGCGGGCAACTTTTCTGCTGCGTCGGTGTGTGTGTGTGTGTGTGTGTGTGTGTGTGTGTGTGTGTGTGTGTGTCTTGTACTGATGAGCTGGGAACAAAATTCAAGGAATTTGTACCCTATCAAGAACCAGTGGTGCTGGTGGAATGTTTTTCACTTCTTTGAACGCCTTTTTCTCTAGTCAAGAAAGCTGAACTTCATCTATGGCATTAGTGGCAATGGCAATGGTAATTGCTGGAGGTTTGCTCTTAGGAGTTTTGTTGAGGTTCAGGCACAAGAGTAGTTGAGTTATGGCTCTCAAAGAGTGGTACACAAGGCTGCATTCTCCTTGTTCCTCTGCGTGTGTGTGTGTGTGTGTGTGTGTGTGTGTGTGTGTGTGTGTGTGTGTTCATTCAGCAAGGCTCTCAGTCCACCCTAGCAGTAGTTCTGATAGAAGACTTTCTGTAAAGATCTCTCAATTGACATCCTGAGCAATAAATCAATCTTACAACTTTGGATGATTACTGAGGCTTTTCTGTAATGTGGATAGAAATCAACTCGAGAACGAAGAGAAGAGGGGGAAAACGGATCTACCCTAATGGCAGGCCATTAAGAATAGAAAACTTAAATACAGAGGTGCAGAAGGCATTAACCTGGCATTACACCCATACCACAAATTGACTATTGACTTCAAAGTCTTATTCCTATGCAGATTTGCCAGGCTTGGCAATATAATTTGGGATGGGAATTTGGAAAAGCATCCCAAGTCCTTGAGAGTTTGACCCTTGTAAGGTGGACTAGGATGGTATCTAGTCTTTCCTCTACATCCTTAAAGCCCACAGGTTTATTCCTGTATTTCTCCTCTACCTTCCCTCCCCAGGTTTACTTGACTCTCTGGCAGATAATAATAGAAAGGGGGGAGAAAAAGAAAGTATTCTCCTTGGAGATCTTTTAAAATCTCATTTCCTCCAAATATAATGACCCAGTGTTTGTCTGTATATCTAGGTACTATTTCTGGTTATGGCAATAAAAAAAACAGTATGCCATAGAAAATCAACCTGTAATCTGTGTGGAAGGAGCTGATAGTGCATAAACCCCAGGGCATCAGGGAGCAGTTCCATGGTAGAGCTGCCGACAGCAGCAAAGTTTTCTTTTCTTCTCTCTGAAATAAATTTGGTTGGCTGTGACAGAATGTCCTGCTTTGGGACCTCTAGCCTTGTTAGAGATGGAAGTGTGTGTGGTGTGGTGTGGCGTGTGTTGTGTGTGTGGTGTGTGTATGGATGCTGTTTCAGATGGTAAAGAGTAAGCACATGATAATGTGTGGGTACTTCTTTCTTCTTTTTCTGAGCTTTGAGTGATTATGAATCCCAAATACCCTCCTAGCCAGTGACTTCCCTCTTGTAGCTCTCCAGCTTTGTCAACCTGTATGTGTGATTTATCCACACAGAGTAATACGATTTATAGAGTAATTTATCTGTTTGCAAAGGGATTTGGACATAATGCAGAAAATATTTTTGCAAACACACAAGCATGCCATCTCAGCTGCTGCCATTCCTAGTCCCTAACACCATTAACCCTTTACTACCAGCAAAACCATGTGTTTATGCTTATTCCAGAAGTGATTTTTTTCCAGATTCCAGGATTGAAGGTGAGAACTGTGTATACTCCAAATGTATCAAACTTTTAATTTTAATGATTTAAAAGTTTGAGATATCTTTGTAAGTCAATGCCACCTGCATCCTAAGGTATATGGGAAACATGTACATGTTAATCAGAAAAATAAATGGATTCTGGTACTTTCGAGTAACGGAAGCATAGAAGTCTGCATGTTGGAAAAAACAATCTCATTACATAAATATCTGTGTATGGTATGTATGTGCTTTTGCATGGTGATGGCTCAAAAGAAACAGAGTTTTGTTCTTTTAAGCATCACACTTCATCAGATATATTACAGTGTGGAGATGGAGCATATGTGAAAAGACAGCAAATGCAGCACAGGCTATGTCCAAGAAAAGGGAAAACAAACAAACTACATGCAAATAAGTCACCTATGGGAGTTCATTGCTTCTCTAGACCTCACCTAACATGGCCTCTCTGTTTTGTTTTTTTTAATGTTCTTTGACTTAGACGAGGCTTTTTAAAAGAGGTTGGTGGAGCTCTATCAGAAGTAACTGTGGAGAGAGTTACCTTTGTTTCCTTAGCTGACCTTCTTCTCAATCTCTTTAACTGAATCCAGTCTGCTTTGTGGGTCAGTTTCCTGGTGAAGAATGAACAGTGCTTGCTGTTGCTTTCTGTTTGCAAGTCTAGCCTGGGAAAGGCATGCTTCCACTTTATTTGTGACATTTTGCTGGGAGTGTGAGCTTCCAGGGGAGGAGAGGAAGGAGAACTTGATTCATTGGCAGCCACAGAAGATGTTTGGCACTGAAAAAGTGAAATGGCAAGAAGAGAAAAATCCTCTCTTAGTGAGTGTGTGGCCCTGAATAATTTGAAATGGCAATAGGAGACAAGGAAGGCTTGTAGTTCTGATGGTCCAATGGCAGGAGCTTAGCTGATGTGTCTGTCTCCAAACATTTTCCTTCGTGTTTCCATAAAGCAAGAGTTTCTGTAGGAATTTAAGAACAAATCATTATTTTTATATAATATAATCTTTGCTACAACTGTGCATGGTGTTAGGGAAATGATCATCTTGAAGTCATATTCTCCAATCTCTGTCTTTTTGAAAAACATGAAAACACTGGAATTATAACAAAACTTGAGGGAGATAGACTGACACATGCATGCCTAACCTGGTTGTTTCTTGGAGGAGACTTCAGATCTTTATGAATTTGTGTAAGGATCTGATGAGAACCACAACAGTTCTGCTCCAAAGCCAAGCAACCAAAGTATGGTTCACAGACCTCCAGTGCAGTAGCAATAAAGTGCTTGGAGTTCCCACCTACATAGAGTGAATCCAAACATGCTTTTACACTGTTTTGTATAGGAAAACATGTGACACATACATATGTCTGGGATTGTACTCATGATGAAGACTTAAGTGGTTTTTGTTGGCTGGTTTGTTTGATTGTTTGTTAACAAATCCTGACTGCTTCAGTGCTACCATCTTAAACAAGGAATCATATCAACGGTTAGAAGAATTTCTAGTCCTTGTCTTACTAATCATTTATCCTGAATAAAGACATCCACTGCTGCTGTTTAATCTTGATAGATTAAAACACTGTAGGTCTCTTGATAAATCACACACGATTGGAAATAGGTTGTACTCCACAACAAACTTTCAAATTATGAAATTTTAATGGCCACACTGACTATCTTATCAGCATTAGCAGGATATGTCTGGAAAGATATTGATAGGGTGCTAGATTTCAAACAACTATAGAGGCTGAATAAAACATTCTCATTATTATGTACCTGCTCATGAAGTTTACATTCATATGCATATTCATATGTAGATATAATATAAGGCTGTATATGCTAAAATGTAGGGTCTACCCAGTAATGTGATTGTAATTAATCTAAAAATGAGATATTGAATCGATATTTATAATTCCATCCCTCTTATGATGTTTGAGGGATGTTACAGTATTTTCATGATGATAATATTTTCTTAATTTATATGAAAACATATTTAATAAGAAACTAAGGGGCAATATGAAAGAAACTAAGCAGCAATGTGAATGGTCCTTAATTTTTGATTTCCTAAATTTTAGGTGTTTACTTCCCTGTTTGTTTCTGTATTAAGAGAGGGAAAAGAAACACCAAAAAAAGGATGGGATTATTTGACAAGAAAATATAATGCATCATGTTCAAACTCAAGAGAAAACATGACTCCTCTTCTATAAGGCATCTGGGCCGCCTACATTCACTAAGAAAGTGTCAACACTCGAACAAACTCCTGGCACAATATGTGATTCTTTTACTACTTATAATTCACTATTTGAAAACAAACTTTGTGGGCCTACAATAAGAGTCTGTGACAATTATGAGCTTTCCTTTCTCTGTAGCTAAGTCACTAAAGATAATCAAAATTTATTGACTATCACTAATATTTTAAGGATCATCCATTGCCCATAAAATCCTTCATTAAATATATGTTGTAAAGAATGGAATTCAACACACTGTATACCAATTGGTTTATGGCATTTTATATACATCTTACTAAAGAATGGTTATGTACCTGTGAATTATACTGTTTGTTGTCATTTATGGCCCAAGAAACAGAATAGGCAAAGCTCATGAGACAAATGCAAACTGTGAATTTTTGTGCTTCTGCAAGTGTCAAACACATGAGTATATATAAGCATACATACAATGTAAGGTGAAGGCACTTTTTCTGGTTTATGTAATTTTACCTTCAAATGAATTGTACAATTGTGGTGATTCATTCATGCTCTAAGTCAATTGGTGAGGGCTCAGCATTTGTGTTTCCCAAAGTCGATCCTGCATAACAGCCAACTCAGGCCAAAAAGGATTAATACACTTTGTTGTGGTCACTGCTAGTCTCAAGTACAAACAGCTGTTACTCACCTGATAGGAAGTGGGATGAATGTGCTGGTCCCCTCCTTGTCATTCACCTGAGCCTTGGAGATACCATTCCTCCAAGCTATTGCTATTGCTCATGGGTTTCAGTGGACGGCCTTGTGCTCTGCATGTGTTGCCTGTGAGTTGTTCCCAAGACTCATAAGATCTCGGTTCTAAATTTGGATCTCCCCTTGTAGGCTATGACTTTGAGCAAATCCCTGAATTATTTTGAGCTGCAGCTTCAGTTTGAAAATGCTGAAACTGTCTATTTTAGTTAATGTACAGAGTTAAGAAGCTCACAATAGGTAAAGAAGGAAAGTTTGTTGAACTGTAACCTGCTATCCAAGAATGAAGGCCCACTCACATTCAAACTATATTCAGCCAGATAATTATTCTATAGGAAACGGGTGTACAAGGACCCTGTTTCTTGAACTTGACAACTTTAGCTATTAGTTCTCAACATGTAGGTCAAACTACTTTTTGAGGTGTGTGGGGGGA